TGTCATACATATTGTCAGGTTTCTCACATTGTTCATTACATATAATCTTTGTGGTTTGTTTGCTGCTTGCACAAGATATTGTCATTTACTTGTATTTACTGACATGCATGTTCTAGTCATTTGTTACATCATTGCAACCATTTGTAGGTATGAGTCAAAGTTCATTACGAAGATTGTGGAAACTATTCAGAATAAAGTGAATCGTGATGTTTTTGTTGAATCCTACCTAACTGGAATCAATAGTCGTGTCAAAGACATCGATTTGTGGTTGCAAAAAAAGTCAACTGATGTGGGCATTATGGCAATATGTGGGATTAGCGGAATAGGGAAAACGACCATTGCTCAATATGCTTATGATTTGAATTCTCACAGATTTGAAGGTAGTAGTTTTCTCGCAGATATTAAAAAAGTCTCCAAACAATGGGATGGCTTGGTTCAATTGCAAAGAAAACTTCTTTCAGATATTCTAAAGAGAAAAATGAGGAAAATAACTAGTGTGCATGAAGGGATCATTGAGATAAAAGATGTCCTACATTTTCGTAAAGTTCTTGTTGTTTTGGATGATGTCGACGAAAAAGATCAACTGGATGCAATTCTTAATATGCACAAGTTTTTTCACCCAGGAAGTAAAATTCTCATTACAACCACAAATATGCTATTGCTGAGGTCTTATAAACTTGAGATTATGGATGTTCAAATATTAAGTGACGATGAATCACTTGAGCTCCTTAGTTGGCATGCATTTCAACAACACCGTCCCATTGAAGGTTACATGGAGTACTCTAAAAGGGTTGTGAAACAGTGCGGAGGGCTTCCTTTAGCCCTTGAAGTTTTAGGTGCTGCTCTACGAAACATGGAGGAGGATGTATGGAGAAGTACATTAGACAGATTTGAAGTAATTCACAATAGCGAAATCCAGCAGAAACTTCAATTAAGCTACGAACATTTACCTGATGATCAGTACAGAAATTCATTCCTTGATATTGCTTGCTTTTTTGTGGGAATGAACAAGGCTTATGTAATCACTGTACTAGATGGATGTGGTTATTTCGGTCCAGCTGAGCTTCAAACTCTTGTTGATAGATGTCTCATAAAAATAAGAGGTAACAAGTTGATGATGCATACATTGATTCAGCGTATGGGAAGAGAAATTATTCGTCAGTTGTCACCTGAGAAGCTTGGCGAGCGTAGTAGACTGTGGAAGAACAGAGATTCCTTCAAAGTATTGAAAGGAACAATTGTAAGAAATTATTTCTTGTATGTTTATGTGCATGTGGTTGCATATATTGTTATTCCCTGTCTCTTATCCATATTGTTTTTGTTATTAGGGCACTGAGACAATCAAAGGACTTGCTCTCAATATGAAAATGCTTGCGGAAGATATGCATACCATGGAAGTCTCAAATTCCAACAATCGGTACAATGAGATCTTGAAAACCAATGCATTCCAATGTATGCACGAATTAAGACTACTAGTGATCAACTATGTACGACTTGATGGAGGCTATAAAAAATTTCCAAACAACATTAGATGGCTGTGTTGGCACGGATTTTGGTTGAAATCTTTCCCAAATGATTTTCCTATGGATAATCTGGTTGCCATTGACATGAGTAATAGTAGCTTAGAACAGTTATGGACGGGAGCCAAGGTATGCGATTGATCCACGTTACCCTCTGTTTCTAACCTTTGTATATATATTTTGTTTGCAGTTCCTTTTTTTTTTTGTCTCTGACATTAGCTTCCTCAATTTTTTTCACAGTGTATTGGGTCATTAAAAATTCTTGACCTTCGGCACTGTCATGGCCTTAGAAAAACTCCAATATTTTCTGGGCTCCCATGTCTTGAGAGATTGATCCTAAAAGGTTGTGTAAATTTGGTTGCGGTTCATGAATCAATTGGCAGTCTTGGGAAACTTGTTCTCTTGAATATGAAAGATTGCATAAGTCTGGAGGAACTTCCAACAAACATTGGCATGCTTAGCTCTCTTGAAACGTTAAATATTTCTGGTTGCTCAAATCTTGAAGAGTTGCCATTGGGGCTAAAAGAAATAAAATCGCTTATAACATTTAAAGCTAATGAAATGGACTTCAGCCACCAACCTTCTACTACTGAAGAGAATAGGCGGTGGCATCCATGGTGGCATCCATTGAAGTGGTTTGGGAGATCTAGAAAAAGAACTCGTCCAGAACTCTCAAAGTTTTGTTCGGCTGTTCTGCCACATTCATTAGTAACACTAAGTCTTGCAGGATGCAATCTATCTGACGATGATTTTCCAAAAGATTTCAGTGGCCTAACCTCATTGGAGGTGATAGATCTAAGCAGAAATCCGATTTGTAGCTTACCAGATTGCGTCAAAGGTCTTGGCAGTCTTAATGAGTTCCATGTACGTTCTTGTACAAGTTTGAAGACCTTGGTGGGGCTACCCCATATAAAGAAGTACTTAGACACTGACAGTTGTCCGTCGTTGGAAAAAATAACACATGCATCATCATCGGCCTGCATAACATATTTCGAAATCCAGGATTGTGAGAATCTAGTAGAAGTCGAAGGTCATTTTAAGTTGCAGTCCATTTTAAACACTGACCCCGAAATTGTTGACCACTTTGGGTTGTCCAATATAGAATCCATCGAAAGCACTGAGGCTTTCTTCTTCAGTCCGTTAACGGCAACGGGAAAGGCTCTCCCCACCCAGGTGCTCTCTCTCTCTTTCTCTCTCTACAACTTGGGTGCTAATGCCATAGTTTTCTTTCCAATCATGATTAACGGTCTGGTCAAAAAAAAAAAAAAGAATCATGATTAATGACAAATTATATATTATCTTTGTACAGTTTGACCAAGTAACCTATTGCCCTTGTATCATTCGATGTATGTTATTTCTTCTTTTTTTTCTCCCTCTAAAATAAACCAAATCTTTCTCCATCTTCATTTCTATGCATTAAGTAGATATTTCAATTTCTATAATTTTTTTAGGAATAAACCATGCTAGGAAAATTTAGCTCTTACATTTTCAGATTTTTAAAGTATAGGGAAGCAAAGTGTTATGGGTTAAACCACATGAAGGTAATGTATGGTTCGAACTGGTTGAAATTGTGACTTTCATGGCACAGGTATTGTCGGAAAAGGGCATATTCAGCGTATTTGTTCCCATGGGGAAAACTTTGGGTTGCTCCAGCAATTCGCGTGCATGGTCCTCAGCATATGTTAGTGTCCCTTTAGTTCAAAACCGGAGGATTCATGGGTTGAACATGCGTTGTGTGTACGAGGACGCCAACGAAAGGGTCACGTTCGAGGAGCTATTAATTAAAATTAAAGTCGATAATGGGCTCGAGAGTATGTTGACCTATGAGCCAGCATGGTTTGGAGTTCCAAATGAAGTAAAAGACTCTGTGATGTGGTTAAGTCATTGGAAGCTTAATGGGTTTGAACCTGGCGATAAATTGAATTTGTTGATTTCAATGAAGTGTTTGGTGATAAAAGAGCTCGAAGTCAATCCTATATACGATGAGCATGAAGAGAAGAATGACCAATCAAACACTGAAGATATGTTTGGATCTACATCAACATTTAGGGACACAACATTTATCGAACCTGAGGATGACAATAGTGATGGCGATGGCAATGACCCGGATTGTTGGACTACAAAGGATGGTTTGGTGATACGTGTAATCAGTTTGGTGGGCGATGATGACCAATCAAATAGTAAAGATGATGTGCTTGGATTTCCCCAAAAAAGAAGAAGATATGCTTAGACTTCATCAAAATAATGGGGTACCACATTTATCATTTTTTTTAATACGAAAAAAATTACCATATTTGTGAGTGATTTTATTACAGTTGTGGGTATTTTTATCACTTTTTGGGTACTATAACAATAATAAAAATATCAACAACAGTGGTAAATAGAAGTATGATACCAAAAAAAAAAAAGGGTACTATGGACAACTCCTGTTAACTATTGTTAAGTTAATTTGAATTGAGCATTTAGGCATTGAATAGCAAATTCAAGGGCATGTTTGGGTTGTGGAAAATGGACATCATCCAAAGAAGAACGGTAGATATGTTACTGTATCTGCGAATCACTCACATTTTGCAAACTTCAGAGCTTATGATCCAAATAGCTTCGACCAACAGTGACCAAACTAAAGAACAACCAAACCTAGCAAATTTTCTAGAAAGAGGGAGAGAGAAGGTAAAGCAAAAATCGGGTCTTACAAGTTTCAGAAACCTTTATTACAAGCTTTGACTATTTGAGAATCCGAGTGCGCGCATACTCCGTGTTTTCTTAAAATTTACTTGTGATTGAGCATAGCGAGCCCCACGTAGTCATGCAAAATTTGGTACAGGGTAATTTATAATTTACACTCTTAAAGTGCAATTGTTTGATTACTAAAATTTTAATTGATACAATTACATCCTTAAAATTTTAACGAGTTTTGATTTACTTTTTCTACCTAAATCTATTAAGTTATTTCGATAGAAAGATGACACGAGACCTGACCGTAAGGATATATATTTGTCCAGTAAATTTTTTTTTTGTTTAAAATCTATGTAATAAAGTAGAGTTAAATTTGAATTTTAAAATTTATCTTGAGTTTTTCGTGGTCCAGAACGATTCTGAGCAAAACATAAATTACATCCAAGGGTATCTTAACTCTAATTTTTCACGGCTCGATCAAATTAAAAATACTAATCCGATGAATCAGATTGATCGATAAATTTTTTTTAAACTATGTTTCATGGACTTAAAATGTAGAGTTAATCAATTACTATTATTAATTTTATTATAGTTTCCAATATTTATTAAAATTTACTATTTATTCAATAATTATGATTAATTACGTTTGAAGTCCATATTTTAAGTATAAATAACATTCCCTCCTTTTTTTCCCCACTCAACATACCTTCCATATTTTGCTACTCCAAATCACGCCTTTAACTAGCCGATTTCACGCCAGCTAACCGCCTGTCTCTATCTTTCGAGATTTTCTTTCCAAACTACCTCATCTTTCTCTCCCCTTTCCAAATCTCCCTTCTTTCTTCCTCTCCTCGCTCCCCGTAACCCTCTCTTTTTCCCATCTTCTCTCTCTCCCTCTGACTTCCACCTCTCCCTGTGAATTCTAGTAAAGAAAGCCGATCTCCTCTCACACTCAAAATAAGATCTTACTGGAATTTAAAACATACTGTCATTCTCAATTCAAAAGATACTCTCAAGCCCTAATGTCCCGCACCTACAAATCTCCTCTCTCTCCCTCGGTATCAAAGCCACAGGCCTCCAGCCGCTGCTCTCTCTCTCTGACTACTGCAATCTCCGCTGCTTATGTCTCACTCTGCTGCTCATTTTGTGGGCACAGCACAACAGGTAACGTACAACTCTCTGCTTCTCTCTCTCTCCGCTGCACAACACTCACCGGACATCACACAAATAACGCAGAACACACACAGGACATACACACACCATGCACACAATATGTTCGACAAAATGCCCCTAATTCTATTCCTCTATCTAGGTGTAAATGCTAATGAAGATTTTATTTTGGGTTTTGTATCCACAAAGTGTTCGTAGATTTGCTTCAATGAAACTAACTATTTTTTTTTGGGTGTTACAAGTTGGGGTTCTCAGGTACGCACACATTTGGAGTAATACTATTCATTTAATCATTGTTCACAATTTTTTTGTAGTTATTAGCGTTGGGTTTTGGTTTTGTTAATTTTGTGCACTGTTTTTGTGAAATCTATTATGCTTGAAGGATTGTTAGGTTGTATTGCATAACACCAACATTTGTTAATTTCACTGATAGTTAATTATATATTTTCCTGGTAGTTAATTATATATTTTCTTCAATATTTAACTATTTTGTTAATTTTGTGCACTGTCACCACGCATCAATGGGTCTTCTTTATTTCAACCTCGGATTTGAATATCTGTAAGTTCGAGTTAATTTCTTTCTTTTTCTCTCTATTTGTAATTGAATCTCTGGGTCTGTTATTGGTTTTTACTTTTTACCTGTTTCCAATAGGGAGGTTCATGCTTTCCACAGGCCCACTGAGGTCCATCCCAAAGCCGCCGCCGCCGCCACCACCACATACCACCCCTCAGGCCCACCCTACGTCAAACATAATGCACAACAACATTTGTTAAAATGCCTGCAAAAATGCTCTCCATTCCAAATTTAAATTACACTTAAACGTCCTGAACTATCACATTTTTTTCACTTTACCCCCTCAACTACCAGATTTTTCACATTGTACCCTCAACTAACACTTTAGTTTCACATTGCCCCAATTGAAAATGTATGTTATCATTTTGGACAAAAGTCGCTGACCTAATGATCAATTGTATGTGCAATTCATCAAGTAACAAGAGAAGGTGTTCTCCTTGAGTGGTCGGGTCGACTCAGGTGAAGTAGAGATAAGAGCCTTCAAGTGGACTTGGTCAAGTCCAGGGCCCAAATATGTAGCTTAGAGTGTGAGAACAACTCTTTCCTTGACCAAATGAGATTTCTTGAGAGAGAGAGAGAGAATAATGAGCTTGTCAAGTCAAAAGAGAATTTTGGGTCAAAATGTGTCAAACTTGATATAGATCTCTGTAAATCAAATGAGCTCTCTGATAGACTTCCCTAATGCAATGAGAAGTTTGATAGGATATTATCTATGAGAAAAATTATAGGTGATAAGCTTGGTTTAGGTTACACAAATGAACACACCCGCACTTCTTCCAAGACCGTGTTGTGAAGGGTATCACTAACCCATCCCCCTCGCAGCTTACTAGGGATATAGTTTTGCAAAAGAAATGACAAGGCTCAAAATAAAATCACAAATGGTCTAAGATTATTTTTTCATCACTCATACATTTGCATGATTCTCATAAAAATTTAAAAGAGAATGTTAACATGTCATTTGACGAGTGCTAATCAAAACAAGATCAATGAGATTATTCAAAGAAATGTTTTGCTAAACTTAAATTTTTATTTAAGTAAATGTTAAAATCTCTACAAGGAAGATTGGCTCAAAATCTGCGCACAGAGTTTACACCTCTCCTATATATGTAAGCTTCATAAAAGATCATACTATTTCAAAATAAGGAATTATTATGTGTTTAAAAGGATGAGTTGCTATGAAAATATAGAGACAATGTACAAACGATGTATGAAAATTCCTCGTAATTCGGTTAGGGTTATACTTGCAAATTAACAGGACCTCAGCCTCGTACCTTCTACTACTGAAGAAAATTGGTCGTGGCATCTATTCATGTGGTTTGGGAGATCGAGACCAAGAATTCGTCCAGAACTCTCGGAGATTGTTTTGCCACATTCATTGGGAGATCGAGTATTCAAGGCGACAATCTATTTGATGGTGATTTTTCAAAATATTTCAGTAGCCTACCTTCGCTAAAGGTAATAGATCTAAGCAAAAATCCCATTTCTGGCCTACCAGAATGGGTCAAAGGTCTTGACAGTCTACATAAGCTACACGTACATTCTTATACAAGCCAGAAAACTCTTACAGGGCTACCCCATATCGAACAGATCTTTGGTGCAATAACATATGCATCATCTTTGGCCTCCAAACCAACTTTCAACTATGATAATTGTGCGAGTCTGCTAGAGGTGCATCGACATTTTACGTTAGAACCTATCATAAACATTGACGCAGAAATTATCAATGACTTTGGTGTTGTCTAATATAGAATCTATCAAAAGCAGTGAGGTTTCCTTGTTCAAGTCGCTCACGTCAATAAAATAGAAGCTCCACATCCAGGTTCTCTCCCCCTCTCTGCCCCCACCCCCACAAAATCGCACTTGGATGCTTATACAATAGTTATTTCCCCGGTTATGCTTAAGGGGATTTTATATATTACCCTTATGCAATATGACCGAGTAACCTATTGCCCCCCCCCCCCCCCATAGTTTAAAATTCTACAAATAATACTGTCTAATTATCGAACAAATTACAACCATGAGGAATTCCTTTAAAATTAAGGGTCAAAGGTCAAATTTCAACATTTCTAGTAAAAAAACGTGTTAAAATAAATTTTTTATACTGTTATGAATATTATATTTCTTACTTTTTCTCGCTAAAATAAACCAATTTTACCTTCTCTCTCTTTATTGTCTCTGCATTAAGTAGATCTTTCAATTTTCATGAAATTTTTAGGAATAAAAAACACTAAGAAAATTAGAAAGTAAAGTGTTGTTGGTTGAACCACATGGAGATAATCTATAGTTTGTCTTAGTTAAAATTGCAATTTTCATGGCATTGGGATTGTCCCAAGACGGAATATTCAGCATATTTCTTCCTGGGAGTAAAGCTTTGGGTTGCTTCAACAATTCGAGTGTATGGTCCACAGTATATTTTATAGTCTCTTCAGTTCAAAATTGTAGAATTCATAGGATGAACATGGGTTATGTGTATGGGATCACTGAAGAAAATTTTTCGGGTAAATTATATATTGAAATTGAAGTCAATAATGGGTGGAAGAATGTGGTAAAATACCGGCCAGCTTCTTTTGGAGTACTAGAAATAGACGAATATATGACGTGGTTAAGTTTTTGGAAGTTAAATGAATTTGTTGCGCTTGGTGACAAACTGAATCTCTGGATTTTAATGAATGGTTCGGAGGTAAAGGAGGTCGAAATCAACCTTGTACACGATGAAACATTGAAGATATACTTAGACCTACCTCAGCATATAGGAACACCAAAATTGACGGCCACTTTGGTTCCTATGCACTAATTGGGCAATGGGGTGTGCCATGTGCTGTGATTGAAAAGTGGAAGAAAAAGCAAGATGAATTAAACCTTTTCCCTTCTTTTATTTCCTTTTTCTCCCTTCCAGACACTACCTATTAATCTTCCAAAACTTCACGAAGATCAGAATTTTTTCGTTGCTTGATCTTCTGGCAAAAGACTATTCTGTGTTTCTTCTCTTGCTGCTTATTTTGGACTGTATGTGCAATGTTTTAGTTTACCAAAAAAATGTAGTGCTATCTAATATTCTATTTTCTGATTGAATTGAATCCATTTTTCCTTCTGCGTTTTTGGGGAGATTCCCTCCAGTGATTTCTTTTTCCAATTTTTTTTTTATGTGGAATGATTTGGTAACTTACCTTGCTGCATCCCTTTTCCCATAAAAACAACAAAAACAAATACATAAATACACATACACACCATTGGATGACATTATTGGTATAAACCACAGGGCATAGAAGGGTAGCCAGGCAGTAAACAGACATAAAGAGAACCCAATACTAAGAAAACCACTACGAAAGATATAAAAATCCGAGTATTTCACATCAAATACACCTATGTACGTAAAACCAATTATACTATATAAAACCAACACGTAAATGATAGTCAGACACCTATGTACCCACTACTGCATCATATCGTATTAACAAAGCACATACTTTAAGCACTTGAGTACCTTCTATTTATGCCATCCCACAAACCAATTCGCCAGCCACCACCATCATTTCTTCATATCTTGTTGATCTTATCGTGCTTCATAATCGATTGGCCTTGTCAATGGCATCCTGAGCAGCAGTCTTGAAATCAAAAACTTGGTTATTCTTATTAGAGTACCAATGGATTGAACAGAAAAGTCTGTCCACATCGGCACTTCACCCCGGGAGTCCAATCCATTTCACGCTTTGATCATCAACAATTACGTTACTGTTTTCTTCGATTATCAAATCAACTTTGGATTGCTTCAAAAAGTAGTATTTGTAGCATTTCGCACGAAGAATCGGAAAGTTTTCTCTGACATCGCCACTGCAGCAGTCTCTTCAACCAATTTTGTGTCTGGCTGCTGCTCCATTTTATTTCCACTATTACCGTCCTTGAGCCCAAATAAATTTGAATTTGAATCTAACGAAGAGCCGAAAACCACTGAAATTAAAACCTCAATCCACCAAACAAATCAAAACAGTAAAGATATCCATTTCACCCAAAGCGGAATACCCTAAATAATCATCACAGGATGGACATGGTAAAAGAGGGAGAAGGAAATTACAAAGGTGAAGGAGAGTTCTGCGGATGTGGTCGATGGTGAAGTGTGTCCTGTGGTAGATGAAGAGCTCATATTGAGATTGGGTTGGTGGGTTAAGGGGCTGTTTAAGCCTGTGGTGGCGGGCCACGGTCCAGTCTTTATTGTGTGCCCCATTTGGGTGACAGACCGGCCACGACTGTGTTCACGGCCCGTGACTCAGCCCAAATCTGTTCTTTCTTCTTAATGTTAATCAACATCTCTGCTCTAAGAATTTATTAACAATGGTAGATGACTTTAAAGGCGTCCCTAAGACTTTATAAATAGACTTTTGATGGTCCTTTTCACGAGTCCTAATTTTGTGCTCGAGGTGTTTTTCAATCCCATAGATTTTCACATCTTTATGAACCTTTCCAATGTGAATTGTTTTGGAATATAGACTTTTATTTTTATTTCAAGCGATTCTCTGTATTATGCCATATCCCATGTCAATTGGATAGATGGTTTCACATGCAGTTATAAAATCTTAGATGATTTATTGTTTAACAAACTAAGTTTATTGTGATAACTGATAAGTGATATCAAAGCAAGACTTAGTAGGTCACAACTTATTATTCATATGAGTCTCTCAATTGAGGATATCTATAACCCACTTATTGAAATTGTATTCTGTAATTGGTAAGAGATGGTTGCCTATAACCCAGTATGTTTTGGAGTTTCAGAACCAGACGAATATATAAAGTTATTGAAAATTTGTTGTACTTCACGGTGAAGTGAATCTTCAGATTTTCATGTATAGTTTGGGGGTAAAGGAGGTCGAAATCGACCTTG